ATTACCATCAGAGTGGTAGCAATGGTCGCCTCTAGGTTCTTGGTTGGAGGTTAGACTACATGATCTTTAATGGTCTCTTCCAACCCAAACCATCCTATGATTCCATGATGCTATGATTCTCTCTCAATATTTCACAGTTCTGGTCTTCTTTGAATTGCAGTCATCTCCTCCACTTTTTCTTGGACAGAACAGGGGCCAGCTAACTTTCACAGTCCACCACATGCACCAAGCACACAGCAGTGCTTATACTTTGCCTAAGACTCTATGCAGACCTTTAATTGATTGCAGCTGAAAGTAAGGATATTGTGTCCATTTAAAAATGCTGTCTGAAGTTAACCAGAGTGAAAAAATGGATGGCTGCTTGTGGTATGAACCACGACTGACCTCCGGGCAGATTTTTCCACAACCAAGTGCCAATACATCTGAATCATTTATCTATAATCTCAAATGGGTGGGAACTGCTCTGTATCACAGACAGAAGAAAACCCAAAACATTTAAATGACTTAAAGGTGTATTACATTATCTGAAGATGGCGAAATTGCCAAATCTGGATGTGTTCCGAAGGTATTCTGTGTATAGGTAGTATAATGCAAGATACATCAGACTGATCATTTGATTATTACTGCCAAGAATTCATCATCTCCATTTGTAGCTGGCTGGTTTACTAAACCTCTGCAGACGCTAATTTTATCATCTGCTCAAACTAGATTGAATTCTTTCCTCATGTTGTTATATACTTTATTTATACCAAGCACTTCAATGCTTATTTTTCAAGCTTACGATTTTTTTCAGATTGAGAAGAGAGAGGACAAGTTAGGTCTGAATTTGAGTCCAACAAAAGAATCACACAGAGTCATAAAATCACAGAATGATTTGGGTTGGAAGGGACCTTAAAGATCATCGAGTTCCAAACCCCCCCACCCCGGCCATGGGCAATGACACCTTCCACCAGACCAGGTTGCTCAAAGCCCCATTCAACCTGGCCTTGAACTGTGCCAGGGAGGGGGCAGCCACAGCTTCTCTCGGCAACCTCTACCAGTGTCTCACAACCCTCACAGTAAAGAAATTCTCTGAAAAAAATTGAAGTACAAGTCTTGACCAGGAACATTTTGAAGATCACCAGACAAAAGCATTATCTAAATTGGTCTGTCAACAGAGCTAATGACAATTACAAATAGCTCTAACACAATATGTTCTTTCCAGAAGCGATGAGAAGTACAGGCACCTCCTCCAGCATATTACCTTCCTTAAACTTCAAAGATTATCCTTAAATTCATCTAACTGTAGACAGAGATCATTAACGACGTTAATAGAAGACATGCCCAGAGAAACACTTAAAACAGTCGGGTTTTGCCAACAGGTGCAAACTGAGTACAACTGCAGAGGACAACAAAAACTCTGCAGCTTCTTCAGAATATCAGTTCGACGATGTCTCGTACAGCTCTCGCATCTCTTGCTGAACTTCCTGAAACAGAAAGCAGCTTGTTTCATCTGTCCCCAGACATCACCTGTCTTGACCTAGCTTCCTCTTCACATTGAGGATTCAGGAAATTCATCAACCAATTGCTGTTTCTCTTTAACCTTCTTAAGTCGCTCTTCCTTTTTTTTTTTCCTAAAAATTTTTTTTAAAGATGTCATTCTTTAACAATTGCTTAAAAAAAAAAATTAAATAATCAATGATTTTGTTGTTTTCCCAAGAAACATTTTTGGCATTTACTGAATATGTTCTGTTATTTGGGTCAGCACAGAAAGGAATTCTGCTCTCGCAAGTATCCCGTTTACCCAAAAGCTTCAGATAATTACCATTTTCTATGTTTAAAGTAAAATCATCATTCAAAAAGTTTGAACAGCACATATTTGGAGGGTCATAAAGCACTCAAGGGAAAAACCACTACATGCCACCGCCTTATACTCCCCCCTAGGCACCCACTTTTGGCCCTTACTGGAGACACAATACTGGGCTACGCAGACCTTCCATCTGACCCAGTACAGTCACTTGTGTCTGCTGCAAGAGTACTAAATTTCCTACTAGAAATATCAAAAAATACACCGAGTTTTGTAGAAATTTCAATTTTCCTGGCCTAAGCAATATGCAACTGTTACTTATTGAAAAAAAAATTCAAGGAGCCACCAGTGCATCAGTAGCTGATTCAGCAGCTTACACAGAGAACCAAAGTACTGTAGCTTTATCTGAACAAGTTGTAAGATGGATTCACACAGACAAATTCCAATGTTACTACTCAGCAACTTGTGCCATGTTTTTTTTAAGAAGCTGCGAAGCAAGAGAATTGGAAAGAGGGCCACGAGTTTTAACAGAGCAACAGTTTGCTTATTTCCATCAGACCTGCCAATAACCAGCTACAAAAGTCACATTTTGCCACTTAAAAACAGGAAAAGGAAGGAGTGCCGCTGAGAAAGGTATTATTCTACCTATGGCTGATACAGCCATTCCAATTTGCTGAGAGCAGCAGCAAATGAGGCTACAAGATGCATGTTTGTAAATATTTTTGTATATACACATACATGTACACATACATGTCAGCTTTATGAGTCTATAAAAATATAATGGTGGTGTTTAAACACCACAGGTGAAGGGCACAAGACATCGACACTAAATATTTATAACCAAAACAAAAGCATTAATTTGTATACTTTGTATTGCCTTTAATTTTCCTAGATATTCCAAAGGGCAGTTTTATTTTGTGAACTGCATCTCTGATTTCTAGATTACTGTTCCTCCTGCATGCATTCCTCCTAGGAAGAGGAAAACCCCCATGAATTAGCAAAATATTCAGGAAATTGTGAATATTCTTCTTCTTTCTCTTTCAAAATACTTCTAGTTCACAAACTAAAGACTGATTTTCCACATGTAAGAGACAACAAAAATATCTGGGAAGATTTTTCAACCTATGTCTCCTTGAATTCTATTAGTAGCCAGAAGATATCTCTGAATTTTAGTACTTCCCTTATACCTACTTCAAGGAATATATTTTTTTAATCATTCTTATAACATTGGTTGCAATACAGCAAGTCTAACAGATGATACAGTAAATTTTAGAAGTTCCTTATTATTCCAGCATAAAATAGCATCAAACAAAAATATGCTCAAAATGGCACGTTAAATCAAATGGTGCATATTCCCAACTGCTGTTTGAAAGCTGCAAGCTGCAAGACGATCAACCATTGGTTAAGTCAACAGAACGCATTTTAAATACCTCATCATTTAATGTTATTAAAATAATTTCATATTTGCATACAGAATGTCATATGGCATATTATTTACAAAATAGCTCAATGTCATATAAAATTGTTTACATTCAGTATAGGAACTTTATAATTGTTCTGGCTAAGTAACAAGAAATCAAACCTATTCTCTGTATGCAAACTCTATTTCTTTAACAAAGTTAAACAGCCTGACTATTTTTCATCTTCTGCTCCTCGTTGTCCTTCATTGTCAGCTATGATAGCCTCCAGTCAAGGAAAGAGAAACAACTACCTTTGCTTCTGCCTTACAACTGGCAAACCGTTTTGCCTTACAGTTGGTAAAAGATCAGCATTGATGTGAACGTTGCTCAACATTACTGTCTTTTATATATGTATAGAATTCAATTCAACCTTGGTTAATCTGTTACTGAGCTTCCATACTTGGCCTCTTCAAATTCAATTTGTTGCAATTTCAGGCTTGAGCATATTTATGATTAAGTTTATAGAGTATGTGCACTGCTGGAAAACAGAAATATCTGAACAGATTAGGGCTTGCACTGAATTTACTTTCTTTCAGCATCGAAGATTTTTGGCCAGAATGGGTGAATGACATTTTTAGTGAAAAGAACTCTATTTCTTGTTTGACTACTCAAACTTGATTTTATCCAAAAACTTGAAACTGCACACATGAAATCAATAAGCATTACTGAAGCTAAAGTAAGCATCACAGCTAAAGTATTTCCGGTTTGAAAATTACCTTCTCTTAAAAATAAATTAGAAGTATATTTGACATACAAGAATTCTGTCATTAATAGTGGCAGAACTCTATTTTACACATTTTTGCAGTTTCCTGAGGACATGAAGTATCGCTTATATAAAAATAAGGCTGGTAAAGAACTTGAGGGAATGATCATAAATTAAATTATTTTCAAGGAACTCTGGATAAACAGAAAACCACAAGCTCTCTCAAGGAGCTGACAGAATGCATCCAAATGTTTCTAACTGCTATGGGAACTGGACTAAGAACTCAACAAGTCTGCTGAATGAACTTACAGCACGTAAAATACAGCAGGCGTTAACAGCATTTATCCACTCCCAAAATACCAGTGCAAAAGGGTATCACCTCCTCTGTCCCAATCACAAGTTTTAAATGAACTGCTATTACGGACATTAACAGAATACATTAGTAGCATGAGTGTGCTGATGTTCATAAGTTTTCAGTTTATTTAGAAACTCACATTAGTACTGGGTCACTTCTCTCAAGTTCAGCAATATACACTAGTACTCCATGTTTTCACTGTTGCGGTCCAGTGAACGGAAGCTGAAAACATTCACAAATGAAATAAAAAAGTAAAGACGGCCTTTCATTGGTATACTATTAGGTATCAGCATATGTTTCAAAACTGCTCTTCGAATTCAGATATACAGACTTATCTAGAGTTATATGCAATCCTTAGATCACTATAAATCCAAATCAGAGAAGTAAAACTATAAGCCTGTGTATGTAGGGAACAGGTTACACTGTTATTTGAAGAATAACCATTTCTTGGGGCCTCACATAAAGATGCCAATTACAAAACACTAATTTCATACCCAAATTGTCCACAACTATGCTCTGTCACATCTACACTTAATGTGTGTTACATGTACACTGTAGCAGTAGATAACAAAACTCCATTCGCCACCATCACCCGACAACAGTGTTCCTTGGCTGTGATTTGCAATTGTTAAAAGCAAAACTTTGAAGTTTGTCAAGCATTTTCTGCTATCCTTTCCTTTAGGATTAAAAAAAAAAAATCTGTATCATGGATGTGGATACACTGAATAAGAATTCTATTCCTCTGTTACAGAAGACTTTCTAGGTCTGAGAACAAGATCTTTGATAGAAGTAGTGATTTCCTGGAGCTCTTTTCGAATGGTATCTGCTCCTTCCTCCTCTTCCAGGTTATCTGTTGTGTCACCGTCTCCCTGTTCAGTTTTCTTAGTCTGGCTGATCAATTGTTTCACTACTAATCCCTGGTATTTGACTAACAGAGAATGCTGATCCTGAGGGGTAAAAAACAGAACAAAACAAAGGAATGTCAATGTCACGGAGAAGGTACACAGACCTTAAATTAAAAGATTAAATTTTTAAAAAAGCATTCTCCCATTCTTGCCTGAAGAGGGTTACTGACACATAAACATATTTCCATCAAGGCATTTTGCAACCTAATCTCAGAGAGACATTCAAAGAGGCAGAAAAACTAAAGTGCATCCATGCTGCTAGAACAGGACAATTAATCACTGAAGCAGGAAAGCAATGCAGTTAGTAAACATCACCAGTTTTGGCAGTTTAGAACACTGAATTTCAATATTTTTACTTTTCAAGAGGTGTATCTTTCTTTAAAACTGAATTAGAAAAGTTTAAAAAGTAACCATGCTCTAGCTGGGAGGAAAGACAGCGTAAAAATTTTCAGCTATAAGAATTATAACATCTCCCAACACATAGCTGTCTCTATGGATGAAGGCAAAAGCTACAGTACTAATAACAGACTGATTTTTAATTTTATTTCAAAAATATTGAAGACAGATCCCTGAAATGACAGGTTTGAAATACAATACAGATCAGAGATATTGCATATTCTGCACATAGAGTAACGATTAGACGTGAAACACAAAGGTGCCAGTCTTCTGCAGCAGAAATAGTATAAGGCACAACTCTTATGTTCTGTCATAGAAAAAAGGTACTTTCCCCTTAAAAAGATAGAAAGGAATACCTCTGGGATCTTGCCACTTAGGAAATTAATGATTTGTGGTACTGATCTTCCTGGTGCATGAAGCATACAGTGTGTTGAAAACTGAAACAACAGTACTGATGTCAAGTGCAGAACAAGAGCTGGATCTTCTGTGACTTTTAGCTGTTCAATCAGAGCTTGTCTATGCTGAAACAGGACTTGCCTAAGGAACAGAAATACATTACATAAAAATATGCTTCTTGTTCCATCTTACAGTAGTTGATAAGACTCTAAAACATATCTAACTTCAATTAATTTTAATTTTCTACTCTGACTGACCAGTTCTTTATGTGAAAATCCACATAAAAAAACCCCAACAAATAAACAGCTAGCACTGGTGTAGCTCAGATTTTGAAAAACCTCCTAGAGAATTTAGAAACTGATATGCTGCAGTAAGCAGTTAGTCAAATATGAAGTCTCCCCTCCTTCTTCTCCCATGGAATTAGGACTGCTTGGTTTTGTATTTTTCCATTAAACAGTTTGGAAAGAAAGGCTGCCTCTTACACATTCTGTGCGACTGCTACGAAACTGACCATCTGACATTTGCGCAGCAACAGAACTACATTTCGCATGCTGTGCATACAACATATAAAATTAAGGTACCTTTCTTTCTTTTTGTCTCCTTTTTTCACCATTATACCACAAATATCCACTGCAGAATCAAGGCATGAAAGAAAATCTTCTACACTCTATTAAAAAATGATACAAATATTTAATCTGTGCTAGAAAATTATAAAAAAGGTTAACTACTGTTCACAATTAATCACAGAAACAGGTGACAATGTATACCTTTGGAACAAACTATAGAAGAAAAGAAAAAGTATTTAGTAGAAATTAATTTGATTCATCTTCCAATAGTTCACATACTTCAATACTAAAACAAACTATCATCCATTAGTCTTAAAAGTGCAATTAAACAAGGAATACATGTTCTACAGTTATTTACAGATTTTTTTTTTCTTAAGAAACATATCAGTATGGTCTTTTGCGTAAAATTACTTTCCTTTGTACTTACACTACCATAATCTGAAGGTAGTTTTTTTTCTTTTCAAAATACCCAGGATTTTACTAGTTAAGAAATACACAGGAGAACAATCAGGAACAAAATACAAAAAACATCAACCACTTTAAACTGCAGATTCTCTCTCAGCTTTTACTCTTCTCACCTGCACATAAAAGATACACTGGACTCCATGTGGAAGCAAAGAGCTAGGCGACTATCAGTATCAAAATGTAAGATCACTGTTTCACCTCTTAAAATTCAGATATGAAAATGTACTTACTCTCACTGACTTACACAAATTCAAAAGATTATCTTGCCTTCATCCTTCATAGCAGCGGCAGTAATGTATTACACTATATATATCAGCTGTTTATTAGCATTGTATCAGCAGAACAGGAAATCTGACCTCGAAGATTCTGGATCACTTTACCTTGCCATTCAGAGAAATATGCAGTTTAGTTAAAGGACCTTTGGAGTCTTCTGGCAATTTACCTAAAATCTTGGTTCGGACCTGTATGAGACAAGAATGGAAATAATCCATAACATTAATTACCTTTTTAGCTGAGGGCGTTTTTAAACAGAAGATAATTAAACATTAAATAAACATCACTGATCTACTTGAGACTGTCAAAAAGGAACTGTTATGTGTACCTCACTTGTGATTGTAGAATAATTTTCTGTTGTCATCATTGAATCAGATGCTAGGAAGTTGAAAATAAGATTTGTAATGTCTGTACAGACAGTCTTCAACAGGTGTTTGGCAAGGTTAGTCTGAGTCTCATCTGTTAAAAGAAGTAAGTGATTAAAAGTAACTAACTGCAATTATCTGATTCCTATGACGGTTATCACAGCACTTGCTAAAAAGTGGACTCTATCAACCATGCGTAGTATCAGAAAGTTATCTGGATACTTGAAGCTAACATCCCTCATTTGCAGTTTCCTATGGAACATTCCTCAGTGAAAAATGTGAGCTTTCAGGTCTGTAAGCACATTTTAATGCATTGTTAATATTTCAAAGATGTATCTGTATAGCCAGTAAACTAGTCCCTGTACAGTCCTCCCAAACCACTAATGAACAACCACTGCTATCCACCAACAAGTAAAAAGTATATAAAGGAAAAAATCTGCAGGACAAGCAGTTAAACAGAAGAGCAGGCACATGACCTAAGACTGAAACAGTAGAATTTTAGAAAAAAGAGGCTAAAGAACACCCGTACAAGAACAGAGGCTAATGGGAAATAATTCCATTTATTCCTAAACGTAAGACTATTGGGGGTTTTTGCTAGTCTCTCCTTTTAGAATCATAGAAAGTTTTGGGTTGGAAGGGACCCCTAGAGGTCATCTAGTCCAACCCCCCCGCAGCGAGCAGGGACACCGCTAACTAGATCAGGTTGCTCAGAGCCCTGTCCAACCTGGTCTTGAATGTTCCCAGCGATGGGGCCTCCACTACCTCTCTGGGCAACCCGTTCCAGTGTTTCACCACCCTCATTGTAAAGAATTTCTTCCTTATATCTAGCCTAAACCTACCCTGTTTTAGTTTAAAACCATTACCCCTCGTCCTATCACTGTTGTCTCTACTAAAAAGATTGTCCCCATCTTTTGTTGCAAGTTTTCCACGGGGAAAGTTCTAGAAGAGCTCCTCAGAGCTGAATACAGCCAAGAATCTTGGAAATGTCTGCAATATCTTCCTAATGCTACTTTTCTGTCACAAAATACAGGTAGCTAAAAGAAGACACCTTACAAAGTAAACCACTGCAAAACGAATCTACACCTTTTTGAAAGACTACCCTCAAGGAACAGCTACTTTCAGTATCAAATCTAGAAGACGCTTTAACAGGGGTTTCTTAGAATCAGATAGTATTTAACTCTTTCATTAGTGGCACAGGTGACAGAATGAAGTATGCTTACTAATTTTTCTATGACAGAACATAGAACATTTCTATGACAGGGATGCAAACACTTCGGAAGGACGGACAAGAACCCACTATGGATATGACATAAAGAGAGAACATATTTCAGTAAGCGTGCATAGCAATGCACTCCAGTATAAGGCCAGTGTTCAGCAGTGCAAACCCTTGAATGTAGATTCCGGAATAAATTCAACATCCTTGAAGGAGCATATTCATTTTTTAAAGTATATATTTATTGTACCTGTGAAATGCTTTATTCCCTTTTCAAATAACCGAATGTTGTTGTACAAGTTTGAGAATTCCTCCTGCAAGTCCTTCATAGTCTGTCTTCTGCTAGCTCCAGAGGAAGATGTTGAAGACGTAAAAACAGAACGCACAACTTCCTGATAAGATTTTGTTAAAGGTCTTAGAACAGGGAAGAAGAAAGGAGAAAAAAGGAACAGTAAGCAAAATGTACAACTGTAGAAGGTTTTTCCAAATGTATCAGCAAGAGAGAAAGCTATCTCTTTACACAGTAAATGAATGGGACATGAATGCCACAGAATGCTGAGATAAATAAAAAACAAATAACTGAAATCAGAAAAAAAGCACTAGGAAATTAACATGTACTTTTATAATTGCAGAAGTACTGCTGGTTACAGTATGCATGGTATGTAAATGCTTGCCAAGGTTTTAACTCATAACAAGTCCTACTGAGTCACAAACACTTTCAGGGGTCTGTGGACAAATTTAAGATCAATGACAACTATAAGAGGGGAAGACTTCAGTTGCATTAAAATAGCACAGGGCCTGCTAAAGATGCAGTTATCATTGCACTCCAGGGTTATCCAAGCTTGGGCTGTTACAGTCCTATCATGTCCTTTTTGCCCTAAACACATATATTCACATCCTTCCTCTTGTATGGAACATCTTTTAAAAGAAGCTATTCATCTTTGCTTAGAGCAGTTTGCTGACCTAGCTTACGACCCAGTTCACACAGGTACTAGCAGAGCCACAAAAGACAGGGAACATGAATATACACCAAGGGCTGTACAGAATACGGGACTGGTGAAACCCCAACATGGATCAGCATAAGGGGGTGGAAATACACCCGTGAACCTGAAAATACACTTGCTGACAAAGGACACAGAACCCTCTACTGCAAGGCAGAAGCATTATTTCTCATTATTGTGTCAGCATGGCTTTCTAATACATAAGCAAGCATGTAACACAAAGCTGTATAGAAAAAGAATATTGTGGCTCACCTCCATCTGCAAAACACTTTTTTCTAAGCAAGAAAACAGACTGGAGAGAAGATTCGTCTGAAGTGAATCACAAACTTTCTAACACCAGTTGAATTACTGAAATTACCTTATTAGGTGTTCAGCAAGTTCTGTAACAAGCTCTTCAGGGCAATCCTGCATGTGGGTCTTTAAAACATCCTGAATTTCTTCTGGTGACATGAAAGGGAATTCCGTCTGCTTATTCCTACCTGTAGCGGCCATGAGAAACATTCATTGAGAAAACATTATATTTAGTTTTGCTGCAGTTACCCTGTGGCATGAGACATTGAAATGCCTCGAAGTCCAACCATCCACATAAATTATGCATTACCAACAATGCAAAAAAAAGGGATGACTGCACATGACAGTTAAATTTTACACATAAGAAAACCTGACAATTTCTCTTTTAATCACTTAGAATTTATTTTCTCTAATAGACAACTGAAGTAGTACATGAGGACATGCATTTTTGGTGAGAGATTTTAAACTGCCTAGCCCATCCACTAGTTTAGAAATGATGACATCACCAAGACCAATGCTTTCACAAGGTTGTTAATTTTCTTTTTTAACCCCATTTAGTAAGGTACACAATTATGTAACAGAGTATCCTAAACTTGAGGTTACGGTAGAAAATTTGAGACAGGACAAATCAAGAATATTTAACCAGGCAAGAAGTTCCAGTAACAAAATCAACTTACATTCTGCTTGCAAATGCATACAAATTTGTGCAACTATATTTTGGTTTTGGACAAAATATGAAGTTTGTCTGCATGCTGTACAATTTAGTTTTCGCATATAAGAATGAGATCAGGATGGTGACTGGAAGAGGACAGGCATTCCATGTTCCGGATACAGCATAAAGCAGGTCTATTCTGCACGTAAGGGAACTGAATGAATGGAAATCAATGATGTTCCTAGTTGTGCCACAGTACCAATGAACAACATACAAGGCTACATGAACAGGTGGAAAGGGAGCTTAAATCAGGTTCTGGAAGGGTCTTATGTATATTTGAATGGTTACATCTGAATTTATCTTGGAATTTTGGTTCAATCTATTAATTATAATACAGTAACACAAGCAGCAACAATTGTAAAACATGAAAGGCTACACCAAAAAAAAGGTGATTTAACAGTTTTACTCAGTAACTGAGCACTTGACAAGTAAAAGTTTTATATGTGAATTACAGCAATCTATAGGAGTAGTGTCACACAAAATTAAGATGCTGTACTTCACAACTTCAAAAATCATGTTTAAAAGTATTTTTCAGTCAGTATTGGAAGTCTAGATACTATAAATAAGATGGAAGTACACATTTCTGGTACTCCATCAAATAAAAGAAACAACACATAATTATGATTGTTTCATTTGCAACCAATATTTCCTAGAAGTCTAACAATGTAGGCATTTACTTCTGAGGAAGCCATCCATGCCCCTTCTCCTAACAGTAAAGGCAGAGAAATGGGCACCAATAGGGAGCAGTTCAAACTCCTCCTGTAATATATATCTAAAACAAGCGAGACAGACTAGGCCTTCAAAGTACCTACTTTCCTCCATTACAAAGTCAATACTTATAAAGGTAGCTAGCTTTTACGCAGAAGTCTCAGTTAAGCAAGGTGAATATTATTACAAATATTAAAACTTTGTATATTTTATCCTTATGAGGAAAAACATCTTCAGTACTGTTTCATTGCTGTGATTTGTTAACTTAACCTAATTTACCTCTGGAACTGGATAAGAACTTCTCCCTTTATCATACATTATTCAGTAGGTGTTAAGAAACCAAGTATAATATTCATTGCAAAATCTAAGGCATTTCCTATATAAAATCAAATTAAAAAAAACAAAACACAACTCTCATTTCCTTGACAATTTCTTTTTTAAAAACTAATTTACACTTTTCAGTGAAAATGCTGCGTCCATTTCATTTAAACAGCAACAATATATCCAATGATACAATTCTACCTAAACAGTATTCTCATCTTCTTTGATAATTTACCTGACTTTATCAATACAGTGTGGAAAAACGGAGATGTGCAAAAACAAGTGATAAAAACTCGTCAGTATGAATAGACAGTGCCCAAAATAAAATGCCAAACCTGTGCTAGTTGCTTGCAACTCTTCATCGCTGTCAGCATCCTTTCTTCCCTTCTTCTTGGTTTTCTTAATCTTGATCTCTCTAGCATTACCTCCTCCTCCTCCTCTCACGCTTCCACTGCCCTCTGGTGGAAAATCATTTGCTTAGTACACAGTAAAGTTCCAGCACTTAAAAAGTTTGCAATATTATGGTAATTTATCTGCATCACTTGTTAATGCTGAATTAGGTGTATGGTCGACACACTGGAGGGAAGGGATGCCATCCAGAGGGACCTTGACAGGCTGGAGAGGTGGGCCCGTGCAAACCTCATGAAGGTCAACAAGGCCAAGTGCAAGGCCCTGCACATGGGTCAGGCCAATCCCAAGCACAGTTACAGGCTGGGTGGAAAATGGAGTGAGAGCAGCCCTGAAGAGAAGGACTTGAGGGTGTTGGTTGATGAGAAGCTCATCATGACCCAGCAATGTGTGCTCACAGCCCAGAAGGCCAACCGTATCCTGGGCTGCATCAAAAGCAGCGTGGCCAGCAGGGTGAGGGAGGTGATTCTGCCCCTCTGCTCTGCTCTGGTGAGACCCCGCCAGGAGTCCTGCATCCAGCTCTGGAGCCCTCAGCAAAGGGCAAACAACAAATTAGTTAGCTCATAGGTTCTGTAATCCATGTGTTCACACTGCAGACAGCATCTCCATTTGCAATACTGGCCCTTTCCACAAGGTAATCTGCTCTGTTGTTTGTTCCCTTTATCACACCTTGTTCCCTCCTTTTTTTCACTTGAAAGAAATTTAAACTCCAGAATAAGTGGTTCTATATATGCACTGAGTCTTGAGAAAGTAGTTAGCTTCCCATTTAAATAAAAGGTCTAAAATTTCAAGCAACCACGTTGTTACTACTACTATCACTTAAAAGGAAACATAAAGACAAGATGCAACTCCTCACAAAGCTAACTGGATCTGTTCTGTGCTATAGACAGATTTCTAAGCACTACTTTGCAGGAACAGCAAACTAGTTCACTTGCAGCTAGCAGCGGATGGTGTACTTGTGAGACCTTCTGAGTTTGTGATCTGTCCAACAACAACAAAAAAACCCTGGTGTTTTTCACAAGCTTATGTGAAATGCAACTGCATTCAGCTGAGCAGATGCAAGCTCTTCATCAGCTGTGCAATATACTACTTATTTTGGAAACAAACTCCCCTCGCTCTGTATTCCACTTTATAGCCATATAGAAAAAGTTGCAATCTGCAGTCAAGATCTTATCCACAGAGAGATGAAGCAGGAGAGATACCGCCAGAAAAGCCGTTATTTTATGACAATAGGATACATGGACTATAATGTACACAAAGGGTTACAAGAATACATGCCTCTACAGATACTTGTTTGTAACAGACTATTGCAAATGGTATTATAAATAGACAAAAGAGAATCTATCTTGAAAATTTTCATTAATCCAGTACACAGCAGAATCCATATTTGTAATGAATTGCATTAATATTATGCCAAGTCAGGTTACACTTAATCCTGTACACAGCAGAATCCATATTTGTAATGAACTGCATTAATATTATGCCAAGTCAGGTTACACTTAAGCAGTAGATACTGATATAGTCACATGCAGACCTTAAGGTAAGCAACGTGACATTGGCCATGTTTTCCTGTTACACAGTAACAACATCTAGTCCTTAAACCATGTTGTTGATCGTTTTAAGGTAATACACCTAACAGTCCATAAAAAAAACACTTCAGTGGGTGGATGGTGCAGCGTACGTTACCTGTGGATATGAATGTGTCTAGACACGTAGTACATGCTCAGTAGAGTCTCACTTCTCAGAGGGCTGGAAACTAAAGTCATTCTATTTATGACAGTTCAATTAAAGTTCAAGCTTCTCTGCTTCAGCTCTGGCCTAGAAAAATCTGCTGTCTCTTGTGGCAAGAACAAGTTTAGATGCCGTGCCAACTCAGTTATGGCCTTTTTAAGTGTAGAATGCAACGTTTTATTTTTCAGATGAGTATATTCAATCAAGCTAGATGCACCAGTGCTCTAATTCTCTTACTTTCAGTAGCACACAAAATTCTGCATGTGAGTTCAACACAGATCGCTCAGCTCTGCTGTAGCAACACAAGAGCCACATAAAGTTTTTGGGACTGAAAATAGAGTCTTTAGCCTGAAAAATGTTTTAAAAACCAGAAAGATTTGAAAGGGCTAAACCCACACATTTTTATTCTTTCTAAGATTAAGTTGTATTCTAAACAGCCAACACACAAATGGAGTAAGGCTTAGGATTAATTCAGCCCAGAATATATGTTAAACTGTGTGAATCTCCAAATAACTGTTATGCATGCAAACAGAAAATTGTCTGGCATGGGATTCTCAGAAAAGATGTACAATATTCTCCAAAAGCCCCCACCTTAATATCGCATTTCTCAGTTCAGACAGTGATTTGGAAGTAACTCCTCAAGACTATTAAGAAATTTTCCTGGATCCCTGAAAAGTGGAGAGTAAGAGTGTATCCATACTGTGTAATAAAAAATGGTACAGGAGTCCTCAAGCTAATACTGGTTTGGTCAATCCTCACTGCACAACTCAATCTTACGTGACCATACCATATACACTGATAAATGAACATGGATTCCTACCTTCTAAAGCAAGCTGCCGTGTGTTGGACTAAGTCAAAATATCTTTACGGTACTTCCTCTGCATTTCTAAATCTGAAAATAGTTATCATGGACATAGCTCAGACATATCTACACCTACAGTGTAATGGTGAGAAGTGGCTGGATTATTTCTTAAATATCTTCAGCAATGGACTGTAGGCAACTAATGAACTGCAAAATATAGTAACATTGTATTTGAGTATTTCTAAGCCTAAACAAATCTTTTTTTGCTTTTCTTTAACCTAAATATTGATGCTTTACCTGTTGCTTTCTTTCTTCTTTCATCCTTCTTGTCTTTCTTATTAGCATATGAATTCTCTAAACCAGAAGCCTGTTTTAAATCTTCTTCAGTGATTAAATTAACAGGGTTATTTTTCATTTCCTAAAATGAAGAACATGCACTTAACAGCAAAAAGATACACACAGCAACAAAAGATACATAAGGACACATTTAATCCATTTAGCCATTTTTAAGTCCACTAATCTAACACCATGTTTTCCAAGGGCAACACATGAAAAGACTTTTATTCCTCTCTTCAAAATTCAGCATCTGATTGTACTGTTAGTGTGATGGTGTTCCCTGAGTGCAACTGAATATACATTAAATTACACTGATTACATATACAAACCTTTTCTTCATTTTTGCTCTTCTTCTCAAGTTATATTTCAGATGACATGCAAAGAGATTGTAACAGCAAATAGAAAGTTATGTAAACTATACTCCAACACTCAACATATACTGCACCTTGACCAATTAAAAAAAACCCTGTACCTTTTCAGCTTTCTGTTGCATCATATCAGAAAACAGGTCAGCACAGCTGCTCAGAAATTTCTCACTGACCACAATGGTGTCACTGAAGACTACACCTGAAGAATTTTTGTTTAAAGATCTCATCACATGCTGAAGCAAAATCCCAACATCTTCTACTGACAATGAACTTGGCAGAAGAGTCTAGGGTAAAGAAAATCAAGATCACTTACGTACAATAATCTCTCATGGAATGGACAGACTTACTTGTATGTGGACAAATACAATCCGCAGACACCCCATGTGACATCTGTTAACTATTTAGAATATATTGTACTTTCAAAATTAAATTGGTGATTTAAAAGCAAACAGTATATTAAATCTTCTAACATCCCAAATCAACGTTGCTCTAGAATATGTCTTACATCTGGAAAAATGCATGACAACATCTTCAAAATGCAGCTCAACAGATGCAGAGTAACAACAAACACAAAACAACAGTAGGCCTCCTTACAAGTCACAAAGTAGTGCTGTAAGGCCTAAAACTAGGATTTAGCCAGGACAAAATGGCTAATATCCCTGTGCTTACCAAAACTGTCATAAGAGTCTAGTTTAAACTTTTTTTCCAACCCCCCCCCCCCCGAAATATATTGCTCTCCATCAGAATACATTAGCACTAATTTTGAAACGAAAGTTAGTCTTAGCTATCTATCAACTGAATACTGACATGCCCTTCTCCTGTTTCTGTTCAGACCAACTTAAAGGCAAACAACGCCTTTTTACTTGCTATCTTAAACAGAATATTCTTCTTGACAATATGGAATTTTCGTTATATGTATGTGGAGTTTCAATGAAGTATCATTTGACACAAAAATAAGATGAAATAAATAAATTTAACAACAGCAACGGAAAGGATTGCTTACTGCTACATCTATCCAGTTTCTAGAGCTCATGGCTTCTTCTACAGAGGCTTCAACTTGATCCACAATTTCTTGACCAACACAAGCTGCTCTCAGAAATAAGAGTTGTGTGGATTTGTATCTTTTTTTAATGTAGCCTGCTGGGTCGGGGATGCCAAGTCTGTACAATGCATCAAATTCTATAAAAGAGTTAGGTGTCTGTTACATTTAAGTACCTTCATATACTTACAGGATCTTATGTGGTAATCTTTTTTTGAAAGCAGGAAACAAAGAATTACATATAGTTTTCACACAAGTAAATGCAGCCTCAAGCTGATACTGACCTAAAACTTCGTTCAGTACAAGCCACACCTAAAGCTAAAGTTCATAGAAATTTGAAGATTAAATCATGGACATGACTTTAGTCTGAGTTTTGGAAAAAAAATGTTTTTTTTCAGATTCTTACAACATTAAGTTTATCTTTGCAATTATATCCTTCCAAATTATTCTAATGTAACATGAACAATATTTATAATCTATATAATATAAAATATTTCGTCTTCAAAAGTTACTCTAATACACTCGTAGAATCATCCACTGCCTCCCCAGGAAAGCATTTCAACTATTTGGCAGTTTATACTTATACATTCTAAAAACATTCAAAGACTTTGACAGATACTCTATCGGTCAAGCAATATTACAGAAACACTTAATACTACTACAGTAAATTATGCTGAACCTTTTCAAACCACAAGACTAACTGTTATTTAGGGACTGGCCCTTTGGGACCATAAGGGTACATTCCTCTGTTCACGTCCACATTTTCCCATAGCTCCTGTTTTAAAATGCCATCATCCAGCATTGCTCAGCTTTAAGTTAGACAGACTTGTCTGGATTCAGATCAGGACACTAGTGCTACTCACTCCAGCTCTACAAATCTTGTTTTGGAAAAGGTTCTTCCTGCGCACTGCACGCTTGGCTACCTGGAATATTAACAGCCAAAGTTTGATTGTAATTTGGACACCTGGACTGAAACTCCAAACACGTGGGTCAAAAATGACCATCTGAGAAGTGTACAATGAGCATTCTAAGCAATGTTTTCAGAACAGCAATCAAAGTAGCATTTGTAACTCTGTGAGAAATAAAGTTACTGTTTAGCACAATGGCTCTCTGCTGAAATATGGTTCTTTATATATAAGCAAGACGGTATTTTACCAAATGAGTATCAACTACTGTATTGATTTCCACTTACTCTTGTGAGGCTACACTCTTGACACAAGCTATACTAGGGTAAGATCAATTACCTAAACTAGTTTTGGAAAGATATTTTATCTACAAAAATAAAGATTAATTACCTAAGTAACCATTCTGCTTGAAAAAGGAATCCACCCAGTTGCTCTGCGTTCTGGCATAGATGTCTGGAACAAACACAGCCTTATCCTGTCTCCCACCAACCACGGTGCCTTTTAGACGACCACTGTTAACAAGTTCTTCTAGCACAGCTACAAGAAAAAAATACATGAAGCGACATTTTCCACTTCAATATACCCATTAATGAAAACATAGCAATTCTTTTCCATGTTTTGTTTCTTCCTCTTTTCTACCCATTAGTTGTTTTTCTTTTTACTATTAATTGAAAAAAAACAAAGACCAAACTGCAAGTGCTTGTTCTAGTGAAGCATTTCCGAGTTCTATCAATTATTTTCAAGACTTCTATGAATGTCTTGAGAAAAGCTCTGGAAATCATATAATGTTTCAAAACAGTGAGTCACAATGGCAGGATCAAAACACTTTTTACTGAACATATAACTACACATTTTCAGCTTTTAATTTAGAAAATGTAGTCATAAAAGAATCCTTCTCTGGCCAGACAATAAAATATACGAGCACTTTATTAATAATGTTCTCTTCAAATTCACCACTTGCATGATAACCAAGGTGGAAAAAAGAGAGATCTGAACACACTAAAATTACATGAAAAATTGCTACCTAAAGTGCATAAAAGTGAGCACCTCCTACTGGTGACCATCTTCACTGTTTATAATGTTCACACTGTTGTTGCCAATAACAACCTCCTGGTAACGCACAAATATCGGTGACAAAGAACATACTGGTAACTGGCAGTACCAAAGTACTAAGCCTATCTCGATGCTAAATAAGGTATTTTCAAACCATTAAAGGTGCACAGTAATATCTGATTTGCCTTCTATGTTCTGCTTTTGTCTTTTCGTAAATCACTAGGTATATTAAAAAAAATCAGTGACGTCAACTGCCAAGCTCTGCTGATTTCTAGAGCTTTGCTAGATGGCCTTTTTACCTTCAGTTTGTGTTGATTTCGATTTCATTAAAAGACAGATTTTACCCTGGAACAGAACATTAAATGGTGTCACATGGTACGGCTCCTTCCTCATTAAATATGAGTCGCAGCCAGCATTTCAACATGCTTAGTACAGCATACGGAGGCTTAACTCACCTACACAGGAAAACCTGGTTCCAGAAGAAACACTACATTTTAAACCATGATTTTTAAAGTCAGACACGCCATTAGCGCAGATAAACCTCTATAAGCTAGCAGCTATTGAACACGACTGTCACTTACAAAGTTGAACAGTAGTTACACTGAAAAAATGTAGAAGAAAGTGAACCAGATTTAAACAAGATAGTTTTATACAGTCTAAGACAAGAGCTAGAAATCATGTTCTTCCATGGATCAGTTACCTTGTGTAATATGGAGCTTACAAGACAGATTCTGAAAATGAAATCAGATTGTTGGACTTACTAATAGATTAGTTACCCTAGAAAATAAGACTCAATGTGCCTATTCTTAAAAAAATTGTCAGACAACACACTTTGCAATCTCATCTTGTTCTCATTGAAAGTTTTTGGGATAAAGAGTAAGACTTATATAGGTATTTCAAATCATTTTGTGGAGCACTAGCAATAAACCAGAGTCTTTACAGCGAAAGGGGAAGAAATGAAGATGCCAATTAATTTTTGCATTATTTCAAGTGCCAGTTCTAAAACTCCAGGGCAGAGAAGGTGCTTTCGTAGGAGGTTTCACAGCCCCTACTACAATTAAGTCCAGATAATCCTTTGTTTTAAAACAGAACAACAGGACCTTTGCAGAACCGCTGTAATCTCGCACATATTTTTAAAGGTGATTGAGTCGTTTGTAGCATCCTGTTAGGTCTCTGTCAAAGTCTGGCAAAGACAACAAGCACCCCTCCACGCCTGTCCTACGTCAGCAATACAATATTCAGAAATGAAGAACATCTGTGCTTTCATTATGCTTTGTAATTAGTGTTTTAACTTCAACAGCTTCTAATTTCTAAAATTATTTCTTTTCTATTGTAACTTCATGTCAGCTTAACATGAATAGCAGCACAGCTATGTGACAGAACCAAAGACTATTGTTTATCTTGTCTAACACTAAGTGTCGATTAAATAATTAGCTGTTTGTAAATTACACAAACAGTACACTGAAATTACCTTTTTTTTTTAATGCAAGCGGCACAACACTGAGAAAGAGCACTTTAAAACACATTGAATCATAGAATCATAGGTTGGAAAAGACCTCTAACATAATTCAAAAGATATTTTTCAAGTTTCCAGCATTTGTGGAATTGAAATGCTATCTCAAAAAGTGAATAGAATAAAATCAAATGCGCCCTGGCAGTGAGTAAAAAGCTCTTTGAAACTGACGAAACTCCAGAGGAAATAAAATACAGTAAGAAAAACAAAAGAAAAAGATGAACAAACACACAAAAAAAAAAAAACAAACAGAAGAAGAAAGTACTAGAAATACACTTAGCCATTGCAACAATTACTGGTGACAGGAAAACACTAGAACTTCAATTCACATTAACACTGTACTTGAGCAATACACGATCAGGTACTTGTTCATGACCTGCTCGAAACACTGAAACAGCATACTGTAACACTACTGTAACACAGTTTAGTAAATTTTCCTTTTAATCTATGAATACCTAGCTGGCACATTCCAAAAAAAGAGGAAAACTTCAACTGATTATGTGAAAGTAGAGTGTTTACATAATTTTATTTAAATGCTAAGATTTTCGTTTTTAATAAATAAGCTTGTCGCAAAGAACAAGATGGTAAGCAGAGAGGTATTACAGTGGAGCTAAAGTGTGCAATGCCCCGAAGGTAAAAAGACACAACCAAACAGAAGAGAAATATTGACTTTCATGAGAAAAGATAGAAAACCATTAAAGGATTCTGAAGACCAGCAGCACTTGGTCAGCCAGCACACAAGACTAATGATGCTTGAAGCAGCATTTTGGACAGAGGGAAGGGGATTCCTGGTAGTCAAAGAAAAGCTGCAACATTAGAAGTGAGAAACAATGAAATACTCCCTTAAAAGTTTCTGCAGTTGGATAGGAATTTTTTATTAATTTCGAATTTAAAAAGGAACTGCGGAAAATAAAAGCAAACAGTTTAAGGATATGCTTTATCTCTCAGCACATAAAGACTTTTAACTAAGAGCGTTACAAAAGCTCTGCCTCCACTATCACAGAGAAATGTCAACAAATAAAATCCAGAGCGGCTAATGCCATTTGGCTTCATAAAATCTGTCCTCTTTTGTGTGCTTCACTGATAAAACTGCCAGTAGCTAAGGGCAAATAATGAAACGGATGACAAACTGAGTACTGTACTTGCATCATTCTGCCCCCATAGGCATTTCATCAACATATGCTCTCCTTGCTTTAGATAGAGAGAACTTCAGTTATGGATACCACAACAGGTTTAGCACTCTTTACATTAGAGAGAAAGATACTGCTGACTATTCCAGAATTAAGGCAATGTACTAAAATGCTTCTATGAAAGCATACTTCTAGTAGTGAAGAATCTATGAATTAGCTAACAAAAATACAAAACAGTCTGAATGAAACTCACAATAAAGTAAATGTTCTTGAAATCCATACCGAGTGATCAAGTTACTTACAGGTGTAGGCCTTGGAGAAAAGAAAAACAAAACAATATAATGACCTGAAATTGATGTAGAGAATCTAGAAATAAGAGGTTACTCCAGACGGACAAAACTACATAATATCTTAACCCCAGTGTGCTACTGTTTAACACAGTTCACAAGGTTTTAATTTTGAATTACTATGAAGTTATATAACAAAGCTATGATAATTTCTGTAAGGAAACTTTTTCAGTCCCAAGTTTTTCTCTCCATATAAACTGACACAGAAGATTATTGATTTAATAAGAAAAAATTATCTGTAATCACATATAGTGGGTAGACATCAATATGTAATTGACTGGGAGTGGAATGACAGTGATGACAGAGACTGTCCAAACAAACAAAAGAACTAGTGATTAACATTTTCTTTAGCCAAAAAACTTAAGTATGTTGCATATTGTATATTGTTATACTTTCCTTTTGCTCCTTTCAAAAGGAGGTCCCCATTTCAAAAAAGTGAGTCCAATATAACTAAATATTTCACCCCAGGAACTGAATTACGCTTAAAGAAATCTGTCTATAGGCCTTTATTTCCTTTTCTTTTTCAATCACAAGTGAATTTGGTCCAAAAGACCCATGGTAAAAATATTCTAATACGTGGTTGCAGGTGTTGCACTTTACCGAGTAATCGCAGTGAAGAGACCACGAATGCGCGCTCGATGCCGGGACACAAAGGCTTCTGTAAAAATCACCCCACGGTTTTCCTGGTCTAGTTGTCCATGAATAATTCTACCCAAACGCCTGGACAATGCCTGTAAATAGAAGCTGGGATGACTGCTAAAATTGCACTTTAATGATGTTAAAAATTAATCAAAAAATTTGTATTAACAAATCATCAAATTAATTTTGCTAAGACAGACAAAATATTCAGTAATGAGGACTACAAGTGGAAATTATTATTTAGATATACTGAGAATGTGTCTACTTGTAAGTTGACGACATTACAGCCCACACTCCAAACTTCAGGGAATTCAGCTTTCCTAATAATGACCTCTTCTATCAGATATATGTGTATCTAATGATGAAAGAAAATTTTGCAAAAAAAAAAAAAGTATGGTTCAGACACGGACAATGAAAACTAAGATTTAACCTTTGTATTAATTTTGTACAAACCACTGGCAGACGACTTCACTATCCAGTTTTTCTAACAGTCCAGACAAAATTAGCAACAATAAACACAAAAGAACAGGTGCAAACAGTATATAAATGTGCATCCTTGTAAAGTGAACTAGCCCCAGGAAATATTGCCCAGGAAACAAAGAGAAACCATGTAGTAACTTTTGCATGTTAGAAATGTTTTTGTAGAAGCTGATCATGCAACAAATACTAGAGGAAATCCATGGATAAACTGAGAGTCAACAAGGTCCTCTGTGGCACCCCATATGACTGTTCACCTAACATATGCCACAGGATTACCCTTTGAAAAAAATACCTTCCGAACAAAATCCAGCCTTGACTGAAAGTTAACAATGGTAAGAGAATTCTCCCTAATCCTTTTAAACACTACAACACTCCTTAACAAAGGTAAAATTTTTTTGTTTGTACTCTGAATGTCTGGCTTCAGCTTCTAGAAATGAAAGTTCATTTTACCTTTTCTGAACAAACTGAAAGGTCTCTACCATTGTATTTCTGCTTCCTGGGTAGCTAATGAGACAGATTAAATTAACCCTACATCTTGTCTCTAATACTTTAAAGAAAGAAATTTTCAGATCTTCCACTAATCTAAATTGTTCCTAACATTCCTAATCCTAACCTATTCCCAACAGTCATAAAGACTCTGAAGAAATTTTGCCAAACAGTGAAAAGGTAAACATCAACCTTGACCTGTGAATAGCTGTTACACTGCAACCTTTATGTATCTAAAACTTTTCTGCTTAGAATGACAAGCAGCTCATCACAATTAAAGCTATGGGTAGTGCAAAGACGACAAAAGAAGGTGAACACATTCTATTCCACATTTGCAAGGTTGGTGGCTTGCATCACCTGTGTCAGGAAGTCTCCCGGAAGGTCGTATGCCTTGCAGAGCTCCGATATTGTCACTTGGCCAGTTTCCTGTAGTTTATCATTTATTTCTTCTGCTAATTGATCCAAGTAACTCCTTATTTAAAAACAAGAAAAACAATCCCAACACATTAAGTGTGAGATTCAAGATTAACATATTATCCATGTGCTGAATTATTAATTGACTTGGCACTATAACTCTTTCTGTAGCATCTTTCCCAAAACAAACTGGAAATTATTTTAAATTAATAAAGGAGAACGATATCTGTGAAAATGTGGGTTTTCTTCAAAAGCCTGCTAACCAGGCAGCTAGTATTGAAATTGGTCATTTACCTACTTGTATGAAACTGTCAAAAAGCAGGAACAGGAAAACATTGTATGTCCACGAGACTTACAAAAGGGTTTTAGTGAGCAAGATAGGTCTTAATTATTTCAAGAGAGCCAGCAATGTCACATTCTTTGCCAAGAACAATTCCCGCAGCACAATCAATAATAGAGACAACCCCGTAAGACTATTACTTCAGTGGCTGTTAGTATGCTGAATGCTTGCTAATACATCTTAGGCTTAAGAGGTACAGCAAGAAGTGGGAAAAAATGTCAACAGGTGAGGCAGATAGCAAAGCCACAAAGCAAAGGAGATCTGGCTGCTGTACACAAAGACACTGGGTAAGAAATGAAGCCTCTTAAGTGCAGGATATTGGCAGAGACATTCAGCAAGGCCTTTGCTCCATGGATTCACTGGATGGTCTCCTAACACAGGTTTCACTTGGCATTTGGAAAAGAAGCACTGATCACCATCAAGCAGCCCTAGCAGCAGTCAAGAAAAATGTATTTCACTTCAGAAGTAACAAAGGCTGGCCATCACTTTTAGTATGCATTTTAAAAAACAACTGATGTGAATTATACATGTTGCTCCTGAAAGTACTCACTCATTTATAAGCTGTCCCAGTACAAGCTGAATAGTTTTTTCTGATTTAACGATGTCATTAGCCCTGTTTTCAATGTGCAGAAGGTCCACATTTATTACCTAAAAAAAAACCCAACAAAACCTCTTATCAGGACTTTCAATTGAAATTGACTCTCAAACATTGAGACATTCTACTTACACATTTCTATCTCTTGAGGAAAGCTGTTTATTTTCTACTATTGCATACATATGCAGTTCATCTGTGATTTGCAATAAAGCGTCAATGCTTTAGGGGAGAAAAGCTCTCTTTGCAACTATGACAAGGTTAAAAGAAACTTATATAATAAACAATTCCAGAAAGCTATGAACAACAAATATTAAATTGTCTTTCAGAAAGGTTTTCTGATTCCAAGTAATTTTACTCAAGCCAGAAGGGAAAATTAGTCACAGAGGAAGACTACTGGAGGATAAAATTAGTGGAGAAAAGCGATTAATGAAGGAAAAGGGAAGATCCAGAGGGGCATGCAAAGTTAATTATGCATGCTCCTGCAGCTTTAAATTTAAATGGGAAACATATTTCTTTTCTGTTTGTCACTCTAAGTTTACAAAGGAAGAGTTCATAAAGTAAATCCTATATTTTAGTGGCGATTTCAGAGGTCCTAGATTATGGCTCAGCAGAGAGAAGCTTTCAATAAAGCAATAAATGGACTGAAAAAGTAATGTGCAGCACTCTGACATGAGCTACCAGCTCTTCATAAAATCTGTTCTCTATTAAAAAAATAACTTAGCTGGAGCATACCTGATGAACTCCATATTTACAATATACATGGTGAAGAAAAGAAAGAAGTATATAGTTTTTTATTACTAAAAAGTTACCTGTTGTAAGTCAACAATGTTTACTCGACCTTCAAAAAAAAGTACAAATAAACTTTTAGTATATAAAACATGTTTGAACAGATTTAGAATATAGCATAGTCCATCGTGTACAAAACATATCTTCATGAATTTTTTGTAGACCAATTAAACCAACTTTAGGTTTATATATCATCAAATCATAGAAATCACAGGTGGTCAGTGCAAGATCTCCCATGCTGCTCTATCCTATGGCCTTGCTGAAAATCAATACAGAAACTGCAGAGGTAATCATCACTGTTCAAACTCCCTCCCAATTAGTTACTGCCTTGACGCTGATCTGGATTCTACCACTAGTCCATAAGTATCAAAATGGAGACTGCCCAAACTTTCTACCTTTGCATGATGCTACTAACAAAAAGCAGCAACTTTAAATTCAGTTCAAGCTATCATACTGATATGATACACAATGGAGTAACACAAACTGAGGTATACTTGTGGTAATTGTAAGAAAGTGACTAATCTGTATGAACATAATACGGAAATTAATTTTCCAAACACACGATGCTGTGAAATTCACCCTTAAATATAGCTACAAGTACAATAAACTGTCTTCTCATTAAAACCATTGACAAAAAGCAATTTGAAGCGTATTTGCCTCCTTATATATCTAAGTCAGATCTTACAAAGCAGATGTCTCTTCACACTGGTAAAATAGAACACCTATCAACGACAATCTAAAAATACTATTATTAGTAATGATGTGAAAGGACAATGATTTTGAAAATCTGAGTCAAGGCCAAACATCTGGGCCAGGCACCCTACTAAAATACCAAATTTCCCTCAAATGGGTTCTTAGACCACTTCTACCTCAGAAATTCTGCATGGGTGAAAATGAACCAAGTAGCATATTTTGATATGCTTACCTAAAAGCTTAATACAGGTCTTAAGTAAAAATAAAAAAACACTAGGTGAATCCACGTGTAGATAAAGCAATAGGAAGCAAGTTCACTTTTTTCTGCAAGATTAAGGGTACTGAACAAAACATTCAAATTCTTTCTCTAGTCTTCAAAATTAACTTCCAAATCCAGGGAATAAAGTAAATGCCACACTTACCACCACAAACGTGAAGCTCATCCCGGATCTCCCTACTAATCTGTGCTGGAGTGACATACTCTTTCGCATCAAGTGTGTGCACTACTTCCAACTGCTTTTCTGAAATCAGTTTAGTGACAATTTCTATACAGTTCCGTTCTGACAATCTATGAACAGCATGAAGAATAATCAGTTATTCTAAGTACCTGCTAAAATTATCTTTAAACTGATGTTTCAGAAATACTGAACACAGGAAACACAATGAAGATTACCTGCCGTTCTGCGCACTTTTTATGACCAAAAACTAATCCCCCGAAACATCAATATGGCTTCGCTTACTTGGGTCACCTCTCTAAAACGACTTTCCTGAACAGCTGTCAGCAACTTTTGCTGTAAGAACCCACGTGCCCATGAATTTAGGAATGGCTGTGCTTACAGAATTTGTGTCTTTGATCCTTCTGTACCTTATTTTAGGGTTTTTTTGTTATTGTTCTCATTTAGGATTTTTTTTTCTTTAATAAAAAACAAGTTTTGGGCAGCAACCTCAACTACCCAACAACGCATAAGAAACCGAGCACTAGAGCCGTGACGACGTTTAGCAGCTCGAACTTAACGTCGATTACGTAGCCAAGCACTTCCCCGGACCTGCACGTACCCTGAGGAGTTCCTGGATTCCCCCCCGGGGCTCACCAGCACCGACAGGTCGGTGGGACTGGTTTTAATTTTTTAAACAATGAGGGACTGCAGAGAGGCAGCGCCGGGCTGAATCCCCCGGGCCCCCGCCGCGTGTCAGGACCGGGGGCCGCGGCACAGAACTCCCC